GCTACATGACTTTGTTACTGTTACTATTACCATTATTGTTTTTTATTATTAATATATTGTATTGTAGTTCCGTAATTGTTATCAACGTTATTATTATTAACAATACTATTACGGTTGTTATCATCATATAATATTTAACAATATCGCCACTGACTCATCTTATTCCATCGTTCTTTTTATTATCCTTATAAATGTAATGTTGACGCCCCCCCTCCCCGAAGGCCCTGCCCCCTCGTGCGAGCGCGAGCGCGAGGCGCTGCTCCGAGTGGCGGAGAACGACGGCAACAAGAACTTCTTCATCCCCGAGTGCGCCGCCAACGGGAAGTACCTGCCCGTCCAGTGCTACCGGGCGGGACAGAGGTACAACGCCACGGAATACTGCTTCTGCATGGACACGGAGACGGGAAACAGCCTGGACGGCACGGGGGTCACCAATGGCACTCCCGACTGCTCTCGGCCCTTCCCCCACGTCCGCGAATGGCCGGGTGAGGGATATGCCGATCATCAGTAAATTACAGTGTATATATATATATATATATATATATATATATATATATATATATATATATATATATATATATATGTATATATGTATATATATATGTATATATATATATATATATATATATATATATATATATATATATATATATGCATATACATACATACATACGTATATAATTTGTATATATATATTAAAGTATATACACACACACACACACACACACACACACACACACACACACACACACACACACACACACACACACACACACACACACACACACACACACACACACATCTGTGTGTGTGTGTGTGTGTGTAAATATTTGCTTTTTCGTACTGTTGCTTTAATGTGGATGTGCTGGTCAGTAGTCATATTTTGATCGAAAAGCCGATTTCTCTGTTACCTTATTAAGAACGGATATACATTAGGGCGAATAAATTCGTGGCCATCCTAAAACTAGGATATTATCTGGTAACACTAGTGCATTCTCGTATAACGATATAAGCCGTTTTGTCAAATAAGTGTTCAAAGGCTAAAGAAGGTTAGCAACTTATATTCTAATATCCAAAATTAAATACACAAAGAAATGAGTAAAGAAACAGACACTGTCTACCTTAATTTCCTAATCGAATGCCCTCACCTATACACTCGGTAAGGGATAATTGTTTCTATGAAATATATAAAAAATGTTAACATCATTTACACACTAATTACCGTTTTGACTTGACAGTTCGCTCGTCGGAGGAAAGACGCGCGCGCGCACGCACGCACGCGCACACACACACACACACACACACACACACACACACACACACACACACACACACACACACACACACACACACACACACACACACACACACACGTTGTACTATATTTGTTCTCCCTTGCTCAGCCTTGAAGCATCTCTGTAACATAACACAACTCGTTCCCATACTGTTTTGTTGGGAATATGTTGATTATTCATAAAAAAAAAAAAAATCTAACGAAATTTTAAATGACAGGCAGAAAAATTACCCTTACCAGAGCTAAGGAAACTTGATCACAGTTTTCGAAGCATTGAAATTGCCTTGTTCCTCAATAAAGTCAAAGGATTGTTTAATCTTCTCTCCGTCTAAATAATATATTTTCTTGTTAGGTCCTCCTTAGGTTTATGAATACTGCATACCAAGCATGATTTTAAGTATCTTCATTTACATACTAGAGATAGCTAGACATTCTTTGAGCTGCTAATGGCGAGGCAGTGTTTTTTTTTTTATATAGTTCGTGAATTCTTAAAAAATAAAGTTAAATAGAATAAATAATAATAATAATAATAGTAATAATAATAATTATAAAATGTATGCAGCGATTTAGGAATGTCCAATATACATTTGACTATATTGGACACAATCCACACACGTTTCTTCATATTTGTTCTCCCTTGTTCTGTCATGTGTACGCAAGTTTTATGTAATTTACAACCTAGAAGAGTTGTTTAAGTAATTGGTAATGGATGAAAAGTAGAAGAAATCACACACACACAAAAAAAAGAGAAAAATGAACAATAGAAAGAATATATATTTCAGTGTTCTACTCCCTCAATGCATGACACAGTAGATTAGAAATACGTGTATGGAAGTTTACAGGTTATATTATGCATGTGCTCCTCCAAGAAAATCTATGTATATACGATTTAGAAATATCTAATGTAGATTTACTATCGTTAATGAGGAGGTGTTCTGAAATTTATAGCAGATTATAATAAAATTCTATTAATGGGGGGGTGACATTTCTAGCTTTTTACTTAGGACTTGTATTTAGAAATCAAATCGGTACCATTTTATTTGTTGAGTAATTTTGTTATCTTTGAAATACTATCATTTTAGAACAAAAGGCGGATTATATTTCTAAGAGTGCTGTTTTTTGTTGTAAAGTATTTAGTCGTGGTTGACTTCCCCTTAGAAATTAGGTATTGAATGTTTTTTTATCACGGAACCCCTGTGTATATTA